GATTCCTTTGAGGCCGACCAAAACCTCGTGCACTTCCTTGAGATTTCCACTGTTTTCACTTTTCTCGTTTCTATTGTACATTGCCGATATACACAAGAGTGGTCAGAAAAAGCCATTTTTCATTTCCCTGCTTTCAGTGTCTAGGTATTCGAACTTCATTGAATTCTGACTGTATATTTCAACTTACAAAGAACAGTATTGCATTCGATAAAGAAATTCCTCAGTAGCCTTCTGCACGAACAAAATCAGCAATTCCTTCCACGCAATAGCGGGCGGCTTCTTATTCTGACAACCACAGAGGAACTCAGGAAGCTCCTGCAAGGAACATCCAATTGCTCCTCCCTTTTCCGCCACGAATAACAAGTGAATTGAGCCCATGCAAAGTGTCTGTTTTTGGCCATCGTCTGTATTATGCTTTTCCATATAGACTATCTGGGAAGATGATTTGAAGGATCAATTTCGTTCAGGACAGTGGTTACGGCTTCGTATGAGCGATCAAATTAATTAATTGCGTACAGTTAGCGTAAAGTTTTTACATCCCGTGTATCAAAAAAAAACATGTTTCAGGTAGTGTACGACAGATCTTTCTGCGAGCAGAAGGCCTTTGAACTGAGTATCAAATGGTTTATGGCCACCGGTCAGACGGTTGCAGATACTGTTTATACATGGCAGTCTAAGGTTAGCTCTAATTATATGTAGAATGCATGGTGTAAACAATCAGACCATGTCGTCGTTCTGGTACACTTATCGTATGCTGCTCAACTGTTAAAAGGATGCTAGTTGCGCTATATGATTTTTTTTTTCAGATTTCGAAGGAAAAGTTCTTCTTGTTCCCTGTACCTGAAGATCCCATTGCGCTTCCGAAAGACCTGAACTCAAATCCACTTCGCTTGTCCTATTCGTGTTCAAGTTCAACAAGATGTTGTTCCGAATCATATGGTATGAACATGAGTATTTCCCAGTGATTTTTGAAATGGTTTGAAGATTTCATTCAGTTGGAGCAAACCCTACAGCATCTTCTGTTCTGCTTTGGTTTTTGCGCTATGGAATGTTCAGTGGAGCACGCAATGGCAACACGAAGCTCTTCGTTCTCGAGTAGAGAGGCGTCTTTTGGTGAGTCGTTTGAAATCAGTCTAGGTAAAAGGCGTCGTAAAGGGGTATGTTGCTTATTATGTGTGGATTGTATCGCTATTTTGAGAACCTGATTTCTTGAGTCTTCAACATTGGTATCATTCGCAGTTACAAGCCATTGAGCTCCGATCTCGTATTTATTTACCCTGTTTTTGAATAAGTTGATTAAGAAAGAGACTCTGAAAAATGTCTGCCTGGTTTCCTAGTTTTTTTTTTATTATCGCATGCTGAATACAGAAAAGACATGCGAAATCGTGAAGTATCTTCTTGTATTTCAAGCCCTCCATGACCTCATGTTGTCAAAGTGAAGGACCTGAGGTTGAACGCATCAAAGAGAACATTCGAACTCGTTGATGAGAATATTCGTTTTCGTTCCTGGAAAGCCTCAGCATCATACCCATACTATCGTCCATTTCTGCTCAAATTCCATAAAGTCAGTACCGGACAGTACCATTCTAGAGGTCGTCCTGAGCTTTTCATTTCGGAATTGTTGCGCAATTGGTGGAAATTTTGTGGCTCGTTCCCACGCGGAACCTCTTTTTAGATTTGGGGATGTGGTTCTACTTGACAGACCACGGTCTCTGTTGACTCCTTTATGATTCAGTCAGAAATGATGAAGAAGTCCCATTGAGGCTCTCACATAGATAATCTTGTGCTTCGACTGTTTTGAGAACCTTTTATCTCCTCTACGAAACTCCATCTCTAGGTGGCCGACGTGTGTGCCGTTTGCCAAGTATGGATGGTTCTATAAGGAGAAATGCAGATCTCAAAACCCATAGATTTCCATTCTCTGTGCTTTTGTGATTTGAATGTATTCAGAAAGCAAGCCGTGGGATTGTTCATCACTTTACATGCATCAAACCGGCGGTATGTTTGTCTCGTTGGAACGTCCAGCTGACAAACCAATGTTTTTCTTTTGGGCGTGGAATCATATGCTCACGAAGAAGTACAGGCAGGATAGGTGAGTTTCAATATGAGAAGTTCAGAATTGATTCACTTCTTGAAATATGATGTTCGAATTGCTTCCCATAGATTTCATCGCATATATTCTACAAATAACATATTTAGAATTATAATACATCGATGGATTCCGCAGCTCGTTTAACCGTAACTTTTTTCAGTCAGTGTTCGGAGGCATTCCAAGATTACATGCTGCGAGAATTCCGAAAATACTGTGGGAATGTCGATAATAAACTCTACGAATTCTACACATCAATGCCACAGATGCTCAACTCTCCTCCGTCAGCCAATTTTACACCAGTCGAATTGTTGTAGAAATGTTGAAGGTATGCTGTTCAGTCATGAATGGTGTTGTTTTTTTTGGGTAATTGGGTGTGACTATTACTTGAATACGGCGTGGTTGATCTGCGGGGTGAGGTGAGGAGGCAGAAAAACCTCAGAGCCAATAGTTTGTTTGGCGTGTAGATAGAGTTTTTGTCCAAAACCGTTTTCAGACTTCCAGTAGAAGATAGAAATATTTGTCGTTTCGGACCTAATGTTGGCCCGTACTTAAAGGTTAAGATGAATGGATAAAAGGGAGGTTGATTGGCGAGTAGTAAGGGAACTACTAGTTAAGGATAAATCTAACATTAGATTGCATGCAAGCATTGAACCTTCAGAAATCGTTTCCAGACTTTCCGGTATGTAACTGACTGCTGCCATTTTTCCCCACTTTCGACAAGTACACAGTACTTATCGGTCAATCATTGCGTTGGCCTTTAAAAATCTTTTCTCGACATTGTTCTAGGTTGAATAGCTGTACACATGAGGTTGCAACTAATCTTGTATGTCCTACCCGATGAACTAGCCTTTAAATATGTGCTTGTGTCTGTATGTTTCTAGCCTTTGTTTGTCTAGCTGTTTTTTTCGCCCCTAACTAAACGTGTCGTAATGAGAAAGCCGTTTTTGCCGCTATATTACGTGTAAATATGTAGTGTATGTGGGTTTGTTTACGAGTATTTGGTGTTGTCTGCTGTATTTTTGCTTTCTAGTCATTCAAGCCATCGCAGAAGGTTACTATAGATCGCCTTTTCTTGGTACTAGACTCGTAGATATTTTGTTAAATGTCACCACTGTCGCAGTCAATGAAGATTTTCGAGTCACATTGATTTTTATGTTTTTTTCGGTGATATCATCAATATGAATAAATGTGCATTTTTGCCCAATTTCTGGATGTTCACGTAGAGTACAGGAGAAATGCGGCGGGGAGCGGTCGAAATCGCGGCGAAAACCATTCGGGTATTTATGCACCAATTTTGGGTGTCGGTACAAACTTGCCCTCCAAAACGCAGAGTTACCCCCACCTTCTCATTGGAACTCTTTGCATGACAGGTCAGGTAAAGGTCAACCTTGGAGTGCGAAAGTGCACTTAAAGAGCTCAGTTGCCGACTTCGCAAAAAAGATGCACATTCGTTGTTGAGTGCCTCTCTACAGGCATTCCCAAAACTGACCGTTCCGCAATCGTTTGCGTGTAATTCCTTCATTCGTGCGCTGATGCCTTGGAGATCAGTCTATTCAGTTTTTTTCAGCATACAGTTATTATACGCACTACTTGTTAGGGTCCAAAGAAGCCAATATGAAGTATGCGCAACTAGTAATGGGTCCTGCTGGAAGTGGCAAAGTGGGTTTGTTTTACCAATCTTATAAACTTATAAACAATTAACTCTTTTTATGAATTTCCAAAATTCTCTTCATTTCAGTCACATACTGCTCAGTCATATACAATCACTGCCAAAGCATTGGGCGTTTTGTGCAAGTGGTGAATCTCGATCCCGCCGCTGAAACATTCAACTATCCTGCAACGGCTGGTTTGTTGATTTTATAAGCATTTTGTTTGTAGTAAGCTAGTTGTTTCTAGAACGTTGAGTATCTCAAGGGCTTAGCCTCGTGGGACCTTGAATAGGCGGAAATTTTAACCACAGATATGACTTTTTTGAATTTTAGATGTGCGCGCGTTGATCAGTGTCGACGACGTTATGGAGGATAAAGAGCTGGCACTGGGTCCGAATGGCGCTCTCGTTTTCTGCATGGAGTGAGTGTTGTACTTGCAATTTTCATTTGTATGCTTTGCCTATCGTCGTAACCCTGGCGCCTATTTTCGACGCTTCAAGATATCTGGTTCAAAATTTGGAATGGCTCCACGATGAGTTATGTGAGGGCGAAGACGACTACTTTATTTTTGATTGCCCAGGGCAGATTGAACTGTACAGTCATTTACCTATCATGCGGCAACTGGTTGATGCGTTCAGGTACTTGATTACCAGCTTTCTATTCTGTTTGATTCTATTTGTGAGGCACCCGTGTTTAGGGCGTGGGACTTCAACGTGTGCTCAGTTTTCCTGATTGATACTCACTTTGTGCTGGAGGCTGAGAAGTGAGTCATCGTTCCCTAGCTTTCAGGTTCCTTATCTTACATTGATCGTAAGCTCGCTGTTATGTCTGTCTTCTGACTCGTATGCTACATTTGCCTCTTCTGTATGTTGCTGGAGCATCAACGAAGCGTTATCGTTGAGATGTGGCTATGGGAGTATGAGGCGGGAGTTTGCGCCCTAATGCAGTGAGTGAGAGCTGAAATGTTCCCATATCTAAAACTTCTATTTTGATTCTGGAAAGACGCAGATGAGCAAATAAGGACAATCATATGGTGGAAAGCTGATCTCGAGATGCGTTTGGTAGTGGCAGGGAATTATTTCATATGCAGAAAGATTTCCTTGGGACGTTTTCGCAAAAGCAGAGCTTGGGATTTTCTTGACATATTTGCTGAAAAAAGCTAAATCTTCATTCAGATCGAAGTGGATAAAGGTGATGGCGGCAGTTGTGGGCGGAAGGTTGTCTCTTCAGATCGATATTGTGTGTAGGCGAGCTCGGAAAAATCTGAGCTCGAGCATTATTGTTTCGACTAGTCCAGTATTGAGCACAGCGTCAGAAAATGCCAAGTCAACGTAACAACTCCGAAGTTCTTTGAATTCTCTTGGAAAATTTAGCCCACCTTTAAACTCCGTCCAAGAAATATGAAAGGCGCGTTCCGTTGCAGGATCCGTGAATTATCCGTGAATTAGCGCGCCCCTGGCTGGTCATTGTGTGAGCTCATGGTGAGCCCTAGACCTTGAAATTCTGTAGAACCCTGCCTGCTCCCACGGGCACCACATAAACCCAGTCCTATTTCAACCTCCTCGAAATGGCTCAGTCTCCTTTTTAGGTTTATCGCTGGTGCACTTACGGCTCTATCCGCAATGGTGGCAATTGAGACGCCATGTGTGAATGTGCTTACAAAGATGGATCTACTCAGAGAGACAAACTTTGTATCGATCACAATATGCTCGGCTGAAAAATTAGCGTTCACGTACATTTAAGCTTATTATTATTGCTAAGGACATTTCGGGGGAGGGGGTTTTGAGTGATTCCGAATACATTTATTGTTATGGAGTTTTAAATTCTCAATTGGACTAATCATTATTTCTTTCAGTGCATTAGTGTTCCCGTTGGGTTGGCAGACCACTAAACTTAATGTGTAAGCTGTCCTGGCTTCACCTAGATTATCGAATCTTCTATCACTCACAGGACAAGCTGGATCTAAAAATTGAACAAGTTTGCGTAAATCCCGCGTTAATCCGAAATTAGTTATAAAGATACTGTTTTTAACTTGTTTTATTCTGAAGAAGTGAGGCGGCGGCCAAGGGTGTTCTACATATGCGGCGTTTTCGCAAAGCGAAGTTAATCTGATGAAAGACTGTTTCTCGCTTTCAGGTAGACGATTTTCTCGAAACAGACACACGAAGTATAGTTGAACATGATACACCACACATGTGGAATGAACGGCATCGCCAGCTGACTAGGACTATAGCACAGGTCGGAGAACCATCGCGGATAATTTGCTATGATTTGGGACACAAAATTTTTCAGGTGCTCGAGGACTATTCTATAGTTAAATTTGTGGCGTTAAATTCCGACGATGAAGAGAGTATAGAGCAGTTGCTGCTTGTCATTGACACAACAATTCAGTATGGCGAGGATTTGGAGGTGAAGGATAGGTATCCTGAAGAGCAAGATCCAGAAGACGAGAATTACGCATAACGTTTTAAATTGTATCGAAAAATGTTAGAGATCTCAAATGTTTATTGTTTTTGTTGCACTGCTGTTGCTGTTCTTGTTAGTGATTTTTCTTCATAAAAATTTGTCTGAGTGCTATTTGGCTTTTGACTGAAAACTGCTGCTCGTGCTGTAACCTATTTTTGAAAGCATTGTATGTGAAATCTCATTTCTGGATTTTCCTTTCAGATTTTGATGACATGGTAAAGGCGGAAGAACATGAAACAATTTCTGGAAGTGGGAGTTCTGGGTAAGTTCCAGTTTTTTCTTCATTTTGCCGTAGCGCAGCAGTTTTATGAAAAGTTCTTATTATTGAAACTAGAATGTGACTGTTCCTGGGTAAATTTGTGAGAGCTAAGGCCGTGTCAGAGTATGCGCCTCCATGGATTCGCTAGCGACTTCACGGAGTTGCAAATTCTGACACCGGCCTGAATTATTCATAAAAAATCATACACATTGGATTCTGGACTTGCATTTGTATCAAGCTTCTGCTTTTCAGTGCTTCGGAGAAATCTGACGAGAAGGCAGAGTCGAAGGATGAAGAGGTAATTGATCTAGGAATCGTTCATTTGGTAAACCAAGTCCTTTCTTCTTTTGCGTGCTCTTGAGACGTAAACGTACTGCCTGGAAAGATTTCAGTATGCTTCGATGTCAGGGCATTTTTAGTGTATAAGATGGCAGGCTACGTAGCTGTTGATTCTCAACATCAGTTGCCACAGATTCTATTCCTCAAAAGCACACCCCGCAATCAAATCCCTGTGGCAATTCCGCACGTATATGAACGGAGGGGAACGAAGCGGACCAATGTGTCGAAAAAAGTCACGGAAACTCCTGGCAGCACCCAAATTGCGGTCCTTTTATTTCCTCGCCGTGGAGGTATACCAGGCAGACCTAAACTAGAACGCTAGGAGACGCTATGGGCCGAGAAGAGGAAGAGACTCGGTGAGAGAACTTTATTAATGGTGGGAGAACACAGAGAGAGCTGCTAGAAGAGGAATTTGCGGGCGAAACTGTCTTGTTGTTGCCCACTTCCGATCCGAGAGAGTCGTGGAGAGTGGTGAACAAAAACACTAGAGGTCCCTTACCTTGGAGCTTCATCATACCCGGTTAAAGAAATAATCCACGCAAATCCATTGCGTCATTGGGCAACATGAGACCTGCAGAACACGATCTCTATATATTACAAAATGAGACCAAATTTTGAAAAAATTTGTTTGGCAAAAGTACTCGATTATTCTCCCTTCATTTGCTGATGATTAGTTACACACAAAGGTCCTCTTGTAACCTGTTTGATTGTAGGTGTGAAATCCCTACTATCTTCAGGAGGGCGGGAGGTCTTTCACTGCGACCTGCGATCATTCGCATGCACGAGGTGGATACCCCAATGAAGGACAATGTCAAATATTTTGTAGTTTCCACAAGGGTTATACGGAAGGTTATCCTACGATACTAGGAAACAGCGTCCATTATGCATAGGCCTAAGAGAGGTAGAAAGGCTGGCCGTTCTGCCGGAAGGGTGTCTGAAAGGTTCCATTCTCAAATTGACCGCGACCCACGACGCTCCTTCAGAAGAATGGCGGAGGAGCTGGAGGAATCGAAGTCATCGATGGGAAAGGTAGTCAATGAAGAACTACATAGCCGTTCCTACCATATGCAGGAGTGTCAGCTCATTTTCGATATCAACAAGCAACAGAGGGTCAAAGATTGCAGAAGGTTGCTCACCCGCCTCAGTGAGGACACGCACCGTACCACCCTTTCTTATGAGGAAAAAATTTCCATAGCAGAGCGGATTGGCAATAGCCAGAAAGATTGCATTTCGGGCAGAAATGTCAGGAGTGCTACTCCACGCTAAAAGATTGTTTGCAAATCACCGAACTTGGTCTCAATTTCGGTTTAAAGGAACACCACGTCCAGTGGTAAGGGGCCGTTAGTTTTCCTTTGATTTCGGTAAGTTCATCAGCAAATCCGGACACTTGAGGTGAACGTAATGAAGGCTCGGCACGAGCCCTACCTTGGAAATAACCCGAGTTGTTTCCAGCAGAAAAGTGCTCAGGCCTACATGGCCAAGTTCCTCCAAGTGTGGTGCCGAGTTCAGTTGCCCGACTTTGCTGGCACCGAGGAACGGCCGTCATTTTCACCAGGTTCGCGCCCACCTCACCTCTTAGTGTGGTCGTTGAGCGAAAGTAAGGTGTGTCAAGTTCTTCGTCACAGTTCGAGTCACTGGAAGGAACATTGAAGGGAGCCCGAGAAGAAATAGACGAGGAATTCCTGCGTGCAACGTGCGCGAAGCCTAAGAAGCGACTTCGAGCTTGCATTAGTCGCGTTGGAGAGTATTTCGATATCTAGTTGTTCCACATTGTTGGGGATGATGCAATTTACCTTATGTGTTAATTCAGTCAGCATCGTCCGTTTAGAAGCTTGAAATATATTGCTGTGTGTAGGCGCCCATAATTTTGGGACACCCTGTATATATTACAAAATGAAACCAAATTGAAAAATTCGAATATTTTGTTCATTGTAACATCGCTACATGTTTCTAGGTCCACATGGTTAAGTCTTCAACGCCTCCTTTGTCGGCGACCGGTGAAGTGCTAAACGAAGTGGATCAAGTCGACGAACAGGAGCACGAGACCCCAACAGGCTCAGTTCACAGTAGTCGAGGTACTTCTTTCTGAAATGTTTCCTTCCCGTCACTGCTTTATGGAATATTCTCTAGCTTCGTCCCCACAGCAGACATCTAGCCAAAATGATAGCGGTGGTGGAGGCGAGGGTAGCGGCGCCAGTGGTGGTGGTGGAAGTGGAGGAACAAAAATTGAAAGGAGCTCGTATTCGCGACGGAAAAGAGCCAGCGGTCATATGGCTTCAGTGATATGCCAGTTTGTAGACACCTCAGGGAGGGGTATTGTGGTGAGTTTTTTTTTTACAATTTCAGTTTTATTGCTACTTTTTCAATGATGGATCATCGCTCAACATGAGTAGCATTTCCATTCTCATGAATTGACGATGGATAGCAGGCGAAAATCCTTTCTTTGCAGTGTAAACAAAGAGCTATCCTTGGGTTCAAATTTTGTATACGGCATATACTTCTGGATCCAGCAGCCCCGTACAAACAGTGTGAACACCACCGGAAACCAAAAAGTGAGTGTTTTGATAGGGATTCGATTTCTCTCAGAATTCACTGAGTTAATCGTTTAATCTTTATGAAATGATCTAGGTAAAAAGGATCTTGCTACTCGATGTACCAATGCTATTAGAAAGGATAAGGAAGAAAATTTCTGCAGTACTCACCTGATTATGAACGGAATGAAGGTATCGAATGCCCTCTGAGCATTCTTTCCATAATTTAATACATTTCAAAATGAATATCTTTTTTAGGAGGCGAAAAAGAAGGAGAAAGGCTCGTCGGCAGTCAACGCTGATGGCACCGAAACGGTTGATCCTGCTGCCGGAACTTTTGCTGTATCCGCTGCTGGGGAGCAGCACCAACTTGTGCCTCAATCCATGGCCGACATGACTTCAAATTCCTCCCCCATACTGCAAGATGCTCTTCAACCGGCGACAACTTGTAGTGAAATGGTAACTGCTGCATCGACAGTGCCCAGTCCACCACGAGCTGCTACTGTATGTACCGTATCCAGCGTCACATCTCGAGCCCCTGTTGCCCCACCAACTGCAGCGATACCGCCCTTGACCTCCACACGACAATCCCTTCTTCCACCACCTCCATCAGCAACCACTACGCTTCGACAGTATGTTCAGAGCAACGCTCACTTAACAGGCAACGTTCTGCGGCAGCAGTTAGCTCCACAAGCGAATAGCACGCTCGCTCCACAGCGTCAGCCTGCGTTGTTCCCAGTGGCTATTGCTGGTCCAAGGGATACTCGTCAGCCGGTGTTGGCTCAACTCAATATGGAGAGTAAACGTCCATTTCGGAGTACCACCAGGAATTGTGACGTCGCTAGAAGGCCATGCAGTAGCGCCAGCTGGTAGGCAGATGTCTCCCTATTTCTCTTTCCTCTCTGAACGTTGTGTTTAGTCTGATTATGCCTTCTCTTTTTTTAGAAGTAATGAACAACATCACGACAACACTTCCTCAACAGATGATCGGTCTTGAAGAAGGTCGAACGCTCATGCAGCAAGTACCAATGACCGCTTATCAAGGGGTGGAGCAACAGTCCGTGGCAGCTCCCCCGTTAGGCACAGCAATAGTGGTGGATCCTCAGCTGACTGGTACTGTAGCACAGATGCAGCGTGTTCCAATCACTGTCAATCAACAACCACTTCCTCAGCAGTTACAGCCGCAGCAGCAGCAGCAACTGCAACAACTGCAGCAACGAGGGCCACTTAGTCCAGGTTGGATATATAGTCTTTCAAAGATTTCAACATAACCAACAGGTGCGAGCGGTGCGAGTTCTAGTCCCGCCTGGCGAGAAAACCTGCGCCACACGGAGCAATTACTTGGCTGCCAAGGAAGCAATGTGTGGCGCTTCCACGGCGAAAGGTGCTGTGGTTGCTGAGCAGGACCTCCGCAGCACTCCGCCCCCAGCAGCGTTACGCCCACAAGTTTACTTGTTGATTTGGACGAGCTGCGTGACCAGCAGCGGCGCAAATGGAGTATCTCGATTAAAGCGTACTTTGGCATGGTTCCATCAAATTCGTTGCGGTGAACTCGTTCATACGTCCTCTTTCTTAGCTGTTACCTGTTCACGAGTTGAAACCAATGGCCAAAAAAGAGGGTCCCGTTTTGTGTTTTCTTGACGGATTTTTCTGCTTTTTTCGCTGCTGGGTACCATTGAACACCACCACGTCACAGCTAAACCCTTCTTGAATTTATCGTAACCGCTACCTTTGAGAAACCCGGTGGCGTTCTATCAACCAAGGGTGAGAGTGTAGATGGACAAACATACGCTTCGCTTAGTATGAGTTAGTATGAGGGCTTGAGCCTTTTGAAGGAAGTAGAAATACTGTATTAGTATGCGTATGTAAGAGCTCTCAGACAGCACTGTAAAACGCTAAACTGCCAGCCTCATGATTGACAGAAGACCTGAGACCGAAAATTCCTGTGCTGTTAACGGCGCTTCCATATATATGGTATGAGGATTCTTGAAAAATTTTCCCACTAAAGAGCACTGTGCTATTCAGTGATGAGCTCTTTGAGAGCCATGCACTCTTTATTTTTCACTTTAAACATTTGGGTAAACTTGCCAGCTCTATTGATGGCT